AGTATCAGTAACTTCTGGAACGCAACTAGAAGAGCTTTGGTGATAGACAGCAGTGCATGTGAGTATCATTCTCATGAAGGCCTGATGGAACAGATGACATACCAGTGTTGGGGAAGTTGCTCACCCTTGTGCAGCTTTCTTGGGGTCTCTGTACATCCTGCGATTCATAATGTTGTTGATTCGCTTCCGATCGTTGTCCATCTCGGCGTGCCGTAGGGCCCATGCGATTCCGCGGGAGTCACTGAGACAAGAGCAATAACGCAAGAGAGTAGCCCGTGTCGGAGGAAGGAATCGAACGAACAGTGCAGGAGGAATATTTACTCCGAGAATTCGGTGCCCGAAGCATCCAGCCGTCCTGCATCGGCATCGTTGTCCTCCTGCTTTTGCTTCAAATCGGGCGAGTCAAATATTTCCGAGGGGGGATCAGGAAACTGAAGTTCACGCGGGTCACTTCACGGCTCGGATTTTCGTGGACTCATGAATACATCGTTGTTCTTCGTCTCGATATCTCCTCTTAACGCCACGAATGACACTTGATGATTCCTATGGAAATACTCAACCCATTGAGCCTAGCTGTACACTCACTTAGAGGTATGCTCGGGAGTGGTGACAACAGGCAGACCCGATCGGGGGTCGAATGAACCGTCATCTGGTGGGGGTGGCGCACGTTGGAGGAAATGCCTGAAAGCGAGATATAATCAAATTTGCGAAGATAACGATAATTGTGGGTAAAGGACATCAATGAAATTCTCAGTGAATAGGTCAGTGTGGGAGAATATGCATATGGTCAACTACATGTATGAGCGAAATTTGCGGAAATTCTAAGGAAAACTGAAGAAATTCTCATTGGTTTCGGTTCATTTCCACCCAAATTCGTATGTAAACTTCTATAATTGGTGAAGAACCTTCTGGATACAGTCGAGAAAAGCAAAGCTTTTTTCCAACACTGGAATAGATGGCCGATTCCATTTTCCCGGCCACTAGAATATTCATCGTAGCCCAGCAATAGTGATAATAAAACAAATCGTGTTCAAAAACACACAGGCTCAAACAAGGTTTTATACTAAGCAAACGAACAAGGAATGTATCCTACTGCAGCAACGAGGCCTTGGGCTTAGGCACTTCTGTTATCACAGGCTCGGCAAAACTAAGCCCGGGGTATCGGCTGCCGAGAGTAGCAGTGCAGAAGACCGAAAGTGAGAGTATTAGTATGACTAACATTGGGTAATAGCTGATAGAGTAGATGAAGATGACGTTGAATAACTCAGATCGATATCAGATGAACAACAACACAACGCATGGTACGGCGTAGTAGTATACAACAAGACGAGTCACGATCGCAAGCCACCAGCACCACCACCGAACCAGCCAGCCACCTTGCCAACCGCTCGGGAGATGACACCGGACCCAGACTCCCCACGGAAGTCAGCAAACATGAAGATGAGTGCGAGTAACCCCAAGCCAGCGTAGAGTGCCACATGCCAAAAGGCAGGAAAAGTGCCGAACAATCGCCACAGGAGGACCCCTGTCCCAGCAAGACTGCTATAGGTAGCCCATGTCCACCGCAACTCTTTGATCTTCAGTTTATCGAACATACTGAGGCCTATGTAATTGAGGAGAAATGGTAGTGTGAGCATGACGATAGTAGCCGCACATGCAATGTCGTATATTGAGAGAATTACGTTGTTGAGATGTGTGATGCCTTCAACGCCCTTTAAAATCAACAATGTTGTTTCTGCTGGTGCTAGGAACAAACGAGTCCAGAAAGACACCTCTGAGCGTTTTTTCCGCCAGCTCGCATACAATCTATCAATTTTCTGTTCACTCCAACCGCTAAAGCCAAGCCCTGCCTCAACACTGATTGTTCCGAATCGGGAAATATTCACACTGAAAGTTTCCATCGTGCCGCTGGTCATTCGCACATCCTTCAAGTTGCCGCAGGGGACTTCACCAGTGCCGAGAGATTTGCCTCCTTCTTCGCTACTTTGATAAAGGGTTACTTTCACAACACTTTTACGCAGGGGGGAGTCGCGCGCCTTTTCAGGGCTCAAACTATAGCGAAACGAGGCGTTCCAGTGTATAGTGTTTGACGCACCACGTGGTGAGGTCTCAAGAACCGTCTCTGCGTCCTTTCCGCACTGGATCTTCACATAGTAGGATCGATCCAGCTTGGTGCGCAAATCGGCGGAAAGAACCTTGCCCAAGATTTTATTCGGCATCCCACTGTAATGCTGCTTGTGGTACAAGTAGTCAGTGTAGTAGAGGGATCCTCCAACAACAATAACAATAAGCAACGCTATCAAAAGCCAAGCCCACCAAGAGAATGTTCCCTTAGAATCGCCACCTGAAACCATAAGTCAATTTTCTTACTCACCATTTCAAACTGAAACTTACCTTCACGCGGGTCCGACGGTCGGACGTTATCCCGATCGGTTTTGCTCTGTACCGCCACAGTGTTGCTGCTAATCGAATCTGTGTCTGGCACCTTTCGAGCAGGAGGGTGAAGCTGCTGTTCAGCCGGAGGTGGTTGGGCAATTTGCTGTAGCCGGCCAGGGCCGATGGGAATGGGCTGTTGTTGAGGTTGCTGCTCGGTTGCCATCGTAGGGGCTACGCCTCGTGATGCTTCGACCATCTGCTGGTATACGGGCGGTGCATGGGCCAACTGCTGCTCTTGTGGTATTGCTTGCTGTTGCTGAGGAAGCTGCTGGTTTCTGGTCTGTGAACCTTGAGGCTGTTGAGGCAACAACTCCGACTGTTGTAGCTGTGGTTGCTGTTGGGAGAACAGATCATGTAACTGTGGGTGCATTTGTTGCGAACCCCGCTCCTGTCGTGATTGCTGTTGTGATGGTAACACTTGAGGTTGAGGTTGCTGTTGTTGTTGAGATTGTTGTTGCTGCTGTTGAGGTTGCTGTTGTTGTTGTTGAGGTTGCTGTTGTTGTTGTTGTTGAGGTTGCTGTTGAGGTTGCTGTTGTTGTTGTTGTTGCTGTTGCTGGGGTTGTTGAGGTTGTTGCTGCTGCTGTGGTTGTTGTTGTCGTTGTTGCGCTAGCTGCTCCATCTGCTGCCACTCCCTTACATGCTCTCCTGTGTCCACTGGTCTCGGCTGCGCCTGTTGTACAGATACCCGGGAGGGGGACTCTGATACTCCAGCCACCTGAACTGCCTGAGCAGTGAGCAAATCAGGCGCCAAGACGCCGGGTGGCCAACTCCTCGCTATAGCAACCGTGTTGAAGCCTGTGAGCGCCTGTGAAGCTACTAGGAAGTATAGTGACGATTTATGATGCCGATGGTCGGCCATATACTCAAAATGGGAAAAGGGGCGACTTACAAGTTTTAGATAGATAGATGGCTCCACATGATCAACGATGCAACGGAGTCAATAAGAGGTCAGTGTGAGAGAATATGCACATGGTCAACTCTAGTTTATCGCAAGATGAAAAATTCTCATTCGTTTCAATACTGCTCCACTCCAAGTCGTATGGTCGAGCGAAGAAATCGTATATTTCAACACTGCGGCACTTGCTGCCGGAATACGTCCGAATTCTGAGTTGTCCATAACCAACAACACATTGACAACACAAGAATTGTGATAATATCCCCTTTTCTCTTTAACGGGTCAGACGCCACAAGACAGACCTCAAGAGATAGTATAAAATGACTTGATAGACGCTACGGCATAAGGTGAATAAAGCATAACGATTGAGAATATACACCAACGTCAGTCAAAACGGATCCTATATAAGCCGCAATAACTGTAGGGTTAGCATTGTATATATATCATCGCCATGACAGCCATCTGAGCCATGATGAACAACATGATACCCAAATACAAATGAACGTGAATTGTATACGAATTAACTATTCGGTCGTATAAGAAAAAGTGAACATTGAATCATCGCGCATTCAACTTGATACTGCTGTAGCATCATCATCATAATAAGCACGGCAAATAG